TTCAAGAGACAGAGAGTGAGCAGGGGAGGGTCAGAGAGACAGGGGGAGACACAGAATCCGAGGCAGGCTCCAGGCTCTGAGGTGTCAGCACAGAGCTCGACACGGGGCTTGAACTCACTAACCCTGAGATCATGACCTGAACCAAAGTCCGACCCTTAACCGACTGAGCCACCCAGGCGCCCCCTGTCTTTGGTTTTAAATGCTGCAGGGTAGGAGAGCATGTTTGGGGCAATGTGGGACCCACAGCTCCCTATGGAACAACCACAGGTGTCCTTACACAATCCGGACAGGCAGGAAGTCATTCCCCGGGGAATAATCCGGAAGCCAGCTGTCAGCCGCCAAGAGTCACCGCATTAGCATACACTCAGGTACTGTTCAAAAGGCCGTATTGTGAGTAACATAAGACCCTCCTCTCTCCCCTATTACTTGGGAAATTCCAAGATTTTAAGAAGCACTGTGCCAGGAACTGGGACACACACAAAATATATATTATCATATCACAATATCACACCCCCAGCTTTTCCCCAGAGTGTTTGAAGGCACAGCCCAGACATCAGTCATCTTACTCATATGCATCTATAACTAACTCATAAGGGCTTTGAAAAAATTGTAACCACGAGGCCATTATCACACCGAAAAAGTTAGCATTTATTCTTTAATATCTTGTAATACCCAATTCACGTTCAAATTTCTTCGATTATCTCAAAGATGGCTTTTACAGCTGGTTTGTTGCAATCAAGAAATAAACAAGGTCCAGGGCGCCTGGGGGGCTCAGTGGGTTAAGCGACCGGCTTCCGCTCAGGTCATGATCTCATGGTCTGTGAGTTCAAGCCCCGGCGTCGGGCTCTGTGCTGACAGCTCCGAGCCTGGAGCCTGCTTCGGATTCTGTGTCTCCTTCTCTCTGCTCCCCCACCCTTAAAAATAAATACACATTAAAAAAAGAAAGAAAGAAAGAAACAAGGTCCACACGTGGCTTTGGCTGCTGTGTCCCATTGGTCTCTTTTACTCTGTAAGGGGATTCCCTGTCTTTTTTCTTTCTTTTTTGTTTTCATGCCACTGTGAGAAACTGAATCATTTGTCCTGTAGAAAGTTTCTCATCCTGGATCTGGCCGACCGCTGACTTGGGATTTTTTTTTTTTTTTTTTTTTAATTTGTCTGTCTTCCTTTAGTGCCTGTAAGGGGGTAGATAGATCCAGCTGGGAAAGGCCCTTCTCGAGTGGCCTCTGCCAACCTCCAGGCAGGGTTCATGCCACCTTCCGCCCCCTCTCCACCCTCCAGCCAGCAGCCTCCAAATAAAGACATTGTGGAACTTCCCCCGTGTTCTTGCTCAACGGATTCCTTCTCAGCCTAAACATCACTTCCTTAGGAAAGTACAACTTCCTTGACTCCCAGATAAGGGTAGACCCGCCCACCCGCACCCCCCAGCTGAGCCCTCAGCACCCTAAAACTCTAAAAGGGAAGCCTAGATCCCTGCTGAATTGAGGGGGAATGGAGCTTTTTACCACTCTCTTGGCCAGAAAATAACCTTTCCCTAAATTCCTGCTGTCTACCGCATATGAAAGGATATGGTTATCTCCTACTGGTAGGATTACTAAGGATTTGCTGGCTCATTTGACTCAGCCGTGTGGCTCATTTTTTTCCATAAGCATACGGTACCTGTAGCACAAAAATGTTTAATTTACGAGTTGCTGTCTTTAATAATTCACTTCCTCAGTACTGATTGAATGCACACGAGGCTTCGTGCTGTACTTTAGAGAGGCGACGGGGAGAACAGACATGCTTTCTGGCTCCGTGAAGCTTTCAGTCCACGGCGGGGGCCAGCAGGCTGTGGCCTCCGGCCAAATCTGGCCCTTTCGTACGACCTGCAGGCTACGAAGTCAAAAGAAGAACGTTTTGTGATGTGAAAATTGTTATGAGCTTCAAATTGCAGTGTCCCTAAATCTATGATGAAATAGACCCACAACTATTTATGTGTTGTCTGTGGCTACTTGAATGATTCAAACAGACTTGTGCTTGTGACAAACCATACGGCCCCACAAAGCCTAAAATATTTGCTAACAGGCTTTTCATAGGAAAGCACAGCGACCCCTGGTTAAGGCAGGATTTTCAAAAAGCAGGGGCGCCTGGCTGGCTCAGTCGGAAGAGCATCCAACTTTGATCTCAGGGGTTGTGAGTTCGAGCTCCCCATGTTTGATGTAGAGATTACTTAAATAAACTTAGAAAGGAAGATTTTCAAAATGCAGATTTATGAGAGTTTATAAAGTCAATTTAGTGGGCCTCAAACAGCGTTCTATTTTTAAAAATTGTTTAATGTTTGTTTTTGAGAGAGAGAGAGAGAGGGCAAGTAGAGGACGTCGGGCAGAGAGAGGAGACACTGTTGCATCCACACGACTCCTGAAACAGAATGCTACGGGCACCAGTGACAGTCACAACAAAGTTTATTACAATGAGAGGCAAGGCTGACGGATCGGGACCAACACTCTTGATAAGAGTGTGGCCCCGAACAGCCGGGGTACAGAGTTTTTATAACCATCACATCGTTTTATCATCACCTGGGAAAAGAACAAAGAAACAGTTTCCAGATGAGTTAGAAACAGTTGCCTAATGAGGTGTTTACTTTAGACTTTCTGCCTCTAAGTTGCAACCAGTGGATCTCCTTGACCCTGCCTCTGACTCTCTTTTCTTTGAACTTTTGTTTCCTTAATTGGTGAAGCCTAATTTACAAGGGTATGAGGCGTAGTTTACCAGAGCAAAGCAAGGCTGTTGTCTCTTAACCTTCAGTGTCAACACAAAGCTGTTATTTTTCAAGCTAAGCATTAGCCCTACACTACAATTTAACCCTTACAACACAGAATCCAAAGCAGGCTCCAGGCTCTGAGCTGTCAGCACAGTACCGGTATAGGGCTCGAACCCACGAACCACGAGACCATGACCTGAGCCGAAGTCAGATACTTAACCAACTGAGCCCCCCAGGCGCCCCGCACCATATATGTTTATATGTGTGTTGCGTCATGATATGAAATGCATTCCTCACTGTAGACCATGGTCAAAACATCTGAAAGTCACTGGCTTAGAAGGAGGCCTGGAAGACACAGAGAAGTAACCAGAAAGTTACGGTACAGTGTGATTGCTGTGAGGGTGAAAAAGCTACAGACTTAGAGACAGAAGAGGCACTTAAGACAGCCTTGGGGGGGCGCCTGGGTGGCGCAGTCGGTTAAGCGTCCGACTTCAGCCAGGTCACGATCTCGCGGTCCGTGAGTTCGAGCCCCGCGTCGGGCTCTGGGCTGATGGCTCAGAGCCTGGAGCCTGTTTCCGATGCTGTGTCTCCCTCTCTCTCTGCCCCTCCCCCGTTCATGCTCTGTCTCTCTCTGTCCCAAAAATAAATAAACGTTGAAAAAAAAAATTAAAAAAAAAAAAAAAAGACAGCCTTGGGGTATCAGCGAGGGCTTCTTGTTAGAAATGACATCTAAGCAGTGACCCTGAAGGACAAGTAGGAGTTAGCCAGGTAAAGAAGAGAAAAGATGGTCACGGCATGTGCAAAGGTCCTGGGGCAAAAGTAAGTAAGGCCTTTGGGAGAAACTACAAGGGGTTCGGAGTTTAGAATGAGGTGAGGCTTCTTTAAACTACTTCTTTCCTTACTCTCCATCACATTACTCTTCCATTTTCATTGAGCAATTATCAGTTACTTGGTTATCTCATTTATTTATTTACGTTCATTACACCTCCTCCAACACATTCGAAAAAGTAAATTCCATGTCAGGGGACACCTGCCTTGTTTATAACTACGCCTTTTGCTTATAACAGCCACTCAGCACTTACTACAGGAGTTTCAGGAACATATCCCTGCTAGATTGGAGGGACGAACGGACCCTGGGAGGGTTAAGACTTGAGGAGACCCACCCACTCGGAGGCTTTGGTAAAAATGCGGGCGAGAGCTTATGGTGCCTTCGATGTTGGGGACAAGCAGATGGACGTTAGGGCTAATGAGGAGCCGGGTAGCATCAGCGAACAGATACTGGGGCCAAGAAATGAAGAGTGCTGGTGGCTCCCAGCTGGGGCAGCGAGACAGACACAAGAGCCACCTGCTCGTGACAGCACGGCCATGGACGTGAGGAGTGGAGTTAAGTAGCTAGAAGGGGGTCGGAGAGAAGGGCGAGGAGTTCAGGAGGCCCTGTGAAACGTGAGCCCTCTGTGGGCCTCCTCGTGACTCCAGAGGCAGCTGACAGAGTGATGGGGGCGGGGGTCACACAGCCAGGGGTGGGGGACAGCGTCCGGAGAGAGCGAGGTGCCTTCTCAGCAGAATCCTGGTGCAGGACAGGACAAGGAGGAAGAGGGGCCGGCAGGGGCATGACAAGTCCTGAGGGCGGCAGGAAAGCCGGGAGAGACCGTAAACAGAGAGAGGGTGGTCAGCTGTGTCAGATGCTGACACAGGGTGCGTCAGGGAAGATAAGGTGATGAAGTGTCCCCTGGACGCCGGACCGGGACGCGGGAGCATTCGATAGAGTGGCGGGTGCAGACTGGAAAGGGCAGGGAAGGGGGGGTGCGAATTAGAGGCAACCCTAAGAAGAAAATTCAAAGGACCCTTAATCCCAACACCCGGGGACAGCCACTGTCACCGTGTCGGTGGGTTCACAGCCTCTGCACATCCTTTTTT